AAAGATGACATACCGTGAACACGTGTGATTTATCCCAGGAATACAAGCTTCACGCAACATATGAAAATAATCAGTGCAATACGCCACACAAATAGGGTAAAGGGAAAAAAAGCCATGTGATCACCTCGACAGAGGCGAAAACAGCATCTGACAAAATCAAACACCCTTTCATGGGAAAAAAATAAAACCCACTCACAAACTAGGAGTAGAAGGGATTTTCCTCAACCGGACAAAGGACATCTACGAAAAACTCCCAGCTGACATCACACGTAATGTGCAAGACGAAACCACTCCCCAGTAAGATCAGGGAGAAGACAAGGACACCTGCTCTCATCACTTCTAGGCAACACTGCACTGGAGCTCTGGCCAGTGCCATCGGGCAAGAAAAAGAAATAAAAGCCATCCAGGTCTTTGAAAGGAAGACGTGAACTGTCTCTATTTGCAGATGACATGATCTTGCATATAGAAAATACTAAAACATTTCACAAAAAAAATCTATTAGAACTAATAAATGAGTTCAGCCAGGTTGCGGGATATAAGATCAGTATACAAAAATCAACTCCATTTCTATACACTAGCAACGAACAAGCGAAGAGAGATATTAAGAAAAACAATTCCATTTACAACAGCATCACAAAACATAAAATACTTTGAAAATTAACAAAACAAGTGCAAAACTGGTATACTGAAAACTACAAAACATCATTGAAAGAAATTTAAAAGATCCAAATAAATGGAAAGACATCCCCTGTCGTGGATTGGAAGACAATCGTGCTAAGATGGCAATACTTCCCAAATTGATTTAGAGAGACAACAAAATCCTTATTGAAATCTCAGTGGCCTTTTTGCAGAAATCGACAAGCTAAAATCAACAGGGAAATTCAAGGGACCCAGAACAGCCAGAACAATCTTGAAAAAGAACGAAGTTGGAAGACTCACACTTCCCAATTTCAAAACTTACTACAAAACTACAGTAATAAAGATAGAATGGTGCCAGCACACACATCAATGGAATAGAATTGAGCTAGAAATAAACCCTCACGTTTAGGGTCAATTAGTTTTTGACAAGGGTGCCAAGGCAATTCAACGGGGAAAAGAATAGTGTTTTCAACAAACGATCCCCATCTGTGTGGAGTCATCAGGGAGAGCTTCCTGGAGGAGGGGACTATAAAGGAGGAATAAGGGTAGGGCAGCTGGGCAGCAGGAGCTGGCTCACATTGTCTGCACACCCTGTTCTTAAGGCCCTCTGGCCCTGGAGGGGGACAAGGGCAGAGTTTCCACTCCAGTTACAGGGAAAGAAACCAGGGCCAGAAGTTAAGTCACTAGCTTGACGTCCCAAAGCTCGGAAGTGCCAGAGCTGCGACTCGACCTGCGTCCCCCCCTCCGCTTGAGGAGGCCCCACCTCTGACTTTCCAATCCCCCACAGCTGCCCAGGGAGGGCGTGCAGAATGCACAGGCTGCTCCCACGCTCCCTCTTCAGGGACGGCAGGCAAGCGGGCATCTTGTGAATCTCTGACTCCCGCTCATCTATGAACCTCATTATCTCGTTCGGAGGTGACAGCTTCTGCTGCGCGCTTTTGAACTCCATGAATTAACATTTGTGAATAGATTTGCTTATGAATTTTAATGACTTTCATTCATTCACAGGCCAAACAAATTACGTATTTGGTGCTTTATTTAATACGTCTATTGCCATTTTATTACAGTCATTCGCTGTGAAACAGCACACAATGGTAATTTAAAGAGGCACAGACCAGCTCCCCAAGTGGCGCACACAGGAGCACACAGGACGTTGTCAAGGCTTGGCCAGTGACGCCCACCGTTCCCAAAGACGCGAGGAACCGGTTTGACAGGTACAACCAGCCTGAAGAACCACGGCCTTTCTAATGGACACTTCTAGTATCTGTCTTGATCTACTAACCAGCGGCTATGGACTTCAAATGCTGGACAGGTCACATCTTGAAAGACAGCTGCTCAAAATACAGGCCCAAGGGGCCCCTGGTGACTTCACAGAGTCAACAGAACTGACACATTACTAACAATTTCCCCCAAACTGTACTCAGGTAGATGGCTTTCGAATTTCATGAGTTGGCTTTTGTTCCTTCTTTTTTTTTGGTGAGGAAGATTGTCCCCGAGCTAACAACTGTGACAATCTTCCTCTATTTTATGTGGGACGCTGCCAAAGCATGGCTTGATGGGCGGTGCTAGGTCTGCACCCAGGATCTGAACCTGTGAACCCCGGGCCACTGCAGGCGAACTTAACCACTGTGCCACCAGGCCAGCCCGTTTTTCATCTTTAAAGCTTTATTAGACAATAATGAGACAGAACTGCTTCTGGACGGCAGGAATACCAGCGGCCTCAGCCAGGGCCACCCAAGGACCCCTGTGCCTGAGAACACACCAAGAGCACGTCTGTGCAGCAGAACCTCAGGACGGGCCGAACAACGGGAGCCTCAGAAACTTTGGTAAAAGGGTCTCCTGGTGGCTGGAAAATCCTGGAGCCTCCAGTGGGGCCTCCTGGGACCCTCGTCTTTGAGCTTAGCTCTTAGTGGTGCCCCCAAAGGGGTCCACGGTCCCTGCAGGTGCATCCCCGCCCAGCCTTCCAGGCGGCGTAGGGGTGCTGGGTCACACCCACACACAGGGGTCAAACAGCATGGTTTTACGATGTTTTAAAAAGGAAAAGGAAGTGCCGTTGGTACCTTCGGCTCCCGGCACACTTGGGGGAACACTGTATTTGAACACACACTGCCCTGGCTGGGCGCTCACCCTTGAAGGGAACACCACCGTGTGTGCGTCCAGTGGTGAAATCCAAGAGCCTAGAGCTGTGCTTTTAAACAAAGTTAGAACCCCACCGCCTCCACTGCACTAGCCACGTTTCAAGTGCTCAGTAGCCACACACGGACAGTGCAGACCATGCCCATCACTGTGGAAAGTTCTGGAAAACGACGGTCCATCGTTGGCTGCTGTGACACAGCCAAGGCGCCCAGCCCCACCTCCATCCCTGCACGCCCCCCTCCTCGGCTCCACCACCCAGGCCCCCTCCCTCCGCTCTCATTGGGTTCACAGGCAGGAGACTCCAGAGGCTCCGGGAACAGGGTTTTTGCACATCTCCCGTCCCCACACAGCCACAGCCACGCACCCCTCACTGCCCGTGTCAGCTTCCTACGGCCGTATAGCGAATCATCATCAACTTAGCGGTTCAAACCACAGGATCTATTCTCTCACACTTCTGGCGCTGTCAGAAGTGTCAAGCGGGTCGGCGGGGCTGCGTTCTTCCCGGAGGCTCCGGGACGGAATCCATTCCTTGCCTCCCCCAGCTCCGAGAGGCCGCCCGCGCTCCTGGGCTCACGGCCCCACATCACTCCAACCTCTGCTTCCTGCTTCCACCCTCACGTCTCCTCTCACGCTGACCCTCCTCCCGCCTCTCATGAGGACCCCTCTGATGACACTGGGCCCCTCGGATAACCCAGGGTAATTCTCCCTACCAAGATCCTTAACTTAATCATATCACAAAGTCCCTTCCTGCATGCATGGTGACAGGTTCCAGGGATCAGGACGTGGACGCCCTTGGGGCCACCATTCTGCCTGCCATACCCTGCCCTGCTTCACTCCAGGTAAAGAAGAAAGAGGACCCCCCAGGGCCGTGTCTGTCTCCCCTGCAGCCCCAGAGCCCATGAGAGGGGACAATGAGGAGTCCCCGCACCCAGAGGCCTCAGGAAGGACAAGTGACAAGTCTGGGGTGTCAGGTCGGCGTCCCCAACCCCGTGGCCCCGGACACTCCCCAGAGCCTTCTCCATTCTCAGCCTTTCAAAGTGTTTCAAGGTCCACCATGGGTCTTAAAGGTCATCAGATTTTTACGTAAGAAAAGAAATCACATGCAAATTTCCAAAAGAAATGACGAACTTAAGTGGAACGGGGAAAATGGCTCTCCAGGCCCCGGTTTCCGGGTACACGGCTGGGGATAAAACACCTCCTGTGTCTTCCGATGTTCCCGGTGCCTCGGTGCCAGGCCTCCTCCCGGAAGCAGAGGATACACGGAGGGACAAGGAGCTCCCTGACAAGAGGGGAAACAGCTGGAGAGGCTCCCGTGGCAGCCTGCCCGGAAGGGGCTGCAATGGCGGAGGGCCCTGTATGCAGTCTAGAGCATCAAGGAAGGCTACCTGGAGGAGGTGCCACTGAGATGGGTCTTAAAAGAGATGAAATTGGCCTGCATGGGTGGCCCTGAATCCATTACAAGAAGTCATTAAAGATTAAAGATCGTGTCACATAGCTCATCCATTTCAGAAATAAGGAAACAAGTCGAAGGGGGAGTGAGTTCAAGGTCATGTGGCTAATCAGGGGTGGGAGCAGTCAGGAAGGACAAAACGTGCTGCAGTGACAACAGCCCCTGAATCTTAGCCACTGAGCCCAACAGATTCTTCCTCGCTTGTGCTCCACGCCCGGCAAGGGTGTCGGGGGCAGCACGCTGTGGTCACTCAGGGATGCAGGCTGGCGAGGCGCCATCGCCCGGCTCACGTCACCACGAGAGGCGAACTGCACACCGGCTCCCAGCCCCCTCCCCACATCACCCGCCCCCAGCGGCTCCTGTGTCATGGCCAGAGCAGGGCCCACGGCCACACTTCACTTCAAAGGCAGTGGGAGGTGTCCCGGCCGTGGCCTGGGGGTCAGGAGTCAGAACAGCCTGTGAGCAGCCGTGACAAAAGCTACGATGAGAACTCAGTCCCGGCCCTCTGCTCACCGTCGGGGCCCCCGCACCCGGGCGCACAGACACACATGGAGCGGCAGGTGCTCCAGCCCGCGTGACCTTACTCACGCCTCAGACGCCCCGCAGGGTTAAGTGGGTGCTGAAGGCCCAGGTCTGGGGACACCTCTCTGGACACAGAAGCATCCTATGGCCCCACGGAGGAGACAGGAGCAGGCCACGTCCCAACAGGTGTGTCCTGAGCAGGCCATGTCCTGGGTGGGCCACGTCTGAGCAGGCCACGTCCCGGCTCACTTACTATTGCAGGCTGACGCCGAACTGCTGGGTGGGCAGGGGGGGCCGCGGCGGTGGCGTCCTGGCGGGAGGGGGTGGCCGGCCCCTGTGTAGCTGCCGGAGCTCCTCATCATACCTGCGGACACGGCAGAAGCATGGCCCTCACCGCACGGCCAGGGAAGCTTCGGGCCCGGGGGGCCGCCTCCAGGTGGGCCAGGCGCTGGACGCTCCATGACCATGTAGGATGCCCCAGTCTCACCCTTCTGGGCCCATGTGCCATGCCACCATCTCACACACACACGCGTGCACGCAGACACTCGCAGTCCCCTTTGCTGGGGGGTGCTCACACAAAGCCAGCAAGGGTAGTTGGGCCCCCCTCAAAGGTCCAGTCTCTGCTGTCAACTCCCAGCCAACACTTCCCCCATGTGTGTCTGCACAGGGGCTTCACTCTGTGGAAACACCCTTTCCCAGCCTCTCGATCCTGCCAAGTGTCCCTCTGCAGCTCAGGTCAGGAGCCACCTCCTCCTGGAAGCCTTCCCTACTGTCGCCTCTCCACTAGTCCCCTCCCCTGATCTTCACTGACTTGTGGCCCCGACGACCCAGGAGCATCCCGAGGGCAGGGCCACTCCCTACACAGCCCCATATCCTCAGCATCTGGTGTGTGACTTGGCACCCGGAGGCAGCTCACCATCTCTACTCCCCTTGGAAGGCTGCCGACCTCACCTACGCAGCTCAGCGAGGGCCCTGCTTCTTCTAAAGAGCCCCCAGGAAGGGAGACGCAAAGGGCAGAGGATGCCCAGGCAGGAGGTCAGGGACCAGGCTGGATTGGGCCCTGCCCATGGGCTGGCTGGGAGGCCAGGGCCGGCCACACGCCCTCCTGGGCCCCCTCTGCTCACCTGACCCCCCATGAGAGACTGTCGGACTGGGGACCCCCACTGCCGGATAAAATAAAGCAGCTGACACACTAACCAGACTCTCAGCAAAAGCCACCAGCTGGGGCGTTGCCCAGAGCACCTGTGGCGAGCCTGAGGACACTGCATTCCGTACGGTGTTATCCACACACCCGAGAAATTCCCCTAATTCTCTGCTCAAAAGCGAAAATGATAAACAGTAAGGCAGAGAACGGCGGTTACCATCACGGCTGATTTTGTTACTTCCGTTTTGCGACGGCGGGAGAGCAAACGTCCCGTCCGTGCACAGCCTTCCGGGCCCATCCCTGAGTCTACAGTTAGCAGCTTCCACTGCGGGTGTCGGTCCATGCCGCAGATTCGGATCTGGCCGGGCCCACGCCTGGAACGTAAGCCTTCCACATTGACGGGACCGGACCAGGACCCACAGCCACGCCAAGGGGTGGTCCCCGCATCCGGGAACAGGGTCTCACTCACCGCAGAACCTCGGGCGGGACGATCAGCTGGTCGTATTTGAGGTGTTCACGGAGCTCACTCAAATAGTTGAAATAGGTGACTTTTTTCCCAAACTTGTGACTAAAAAAGCAGAAGAAGATAAAAACGATTAGGTGGCAACAGAGAGGCCTGGGGCCCGGGGGAGGGGCGAGCAGCAGGCGAACTGGAGGAACAATGCCGGCATTTTTCATATTAAGAAACGTAAACGCTGACACAACTTAAAGCCAGAGAATAACGGAAGCAGCGCACGTCCGCAGACGTTCCGCTTTCCTGAGACCTCCACGCACCGAGCACTCTCGAGCCTCATTTGCATAAAAATAAATATCTGCCTCCAATTTGAATCCACTGTGAATTTGCATAGATAGAGGAGAGAGCGTGGGAGCAGGGAGCCCTTCCCGGGGCACAAGGAGGGGGCTCGGAAGGCCCGCGGCTCCCCATTTTGCCATCCCCTCTCTCTGCAAGGGTCCCAGGACCGTATCAATCCCTCGTTACTGCAGGGACCGAAGAAGACACTCAGCTTCTCTCCAGGAGGGTGTCACCCTGGGGACCATGATGGGGGAGCAGAGTGGAGCCAAGCCCTGGCCGAACCAATCCACCCACTCTTCAGGGCCTCAGGTCCCCCAGGAAAACAGGGTTCTCCCTCCCAAGCGGGACTATTTACATAAATCAGTCCACTGTCCAACCCCGGGAGACTAAACTACCTGAGACCATCACTGTTCATGAGCCTCAGTTTCCCCAACTGCATCAGAACACGAGGATCCGATGTGTGAGCAGTAAAACACGCGCTCAGCGCCCGCTCCCCCATAAACGGTCACCCCCTGTCTGCCCTGTGGTTGACAGGTTCGTTGAAGAGTAATCGATGTGCACAGAGCTGGGCGTGTTTCGTGCACACAGTTTGATGACCTCGGACGCACGTGTGCATCGTGACACCATCACAATCAGGGCGACAGCACAGCCACCACCTCCAGAGGCCTCCTCCTCGCGTCCTCTGCTTTTATGTGTGTGGTACGAACACTCAGCACGAGATGCAGCCTTAACGAACTCCCAAGGGCATGACGCCGTGTTGCAAGCGCAGGCTCCGAGCTGCCCCGCAGATCCCGAGGCCCCCAGGGCCTCGGACGACCGGACCCAAGCTGTTGATCCCAAGCCGCGAGCACCGGCTCCCTCTAGTGGATGAGGGCGGATCAGACCGGGTGCCAGGCCCCAGCCGCTGGCACTGAGCAGCTAGAGGGGTCTGGCCAGTAGGTATGAACCACCTGCGAGGACAGAGGCGGCAGCTCCAGAGCTGCAGGGGGCCCTCGTGCCAGCCCTGCCCACACAGGAGCCCCCTCAACTTCCTCTCTGCGTGTCTGCCGCCCCCTCCAGCCGGCCGTGCACCTGCTGGACACCAGACCCTGCAGAGGTGAGCGGGGACCTACCTGCTCCCACCTCTTCCAGCCCAGAAAGGGCCTCGGGGAGCCCGTCCAGGGGCTCCCAACCCAGGAGGGCAGCGGAACCGCCAGGCCTCCCTCCAGAGGGTCTGAGGCAGCAGGTGTGGGCTGGCCTGGGACCCTCATGTGTTGGCATTGGAGCCGCTGTGCTTGTCCACTGCGTCCACTTTCAAGGGAGGACTCCAGGGCTCACATGCGCAGCCATGTGACAGCCGACAAGTGGCAGTCCTCTCCCAGCACCCACTTACGCCCACGCCTGAGGCAGGATAAAGGGCAGAACCACACACGCTTGAGTTGGAATCCTAGCCCCAGTCCTCACCTGCTGTGTGACCTCAGGCAACTCTTTAACCTCTGTGAGCATCAACTCCTCTCTTTTGGAATAGGGAAAATACAGCTGACTCCACAGCATTGTTCTGGGGTGCCTGGCACATAAGGTGCATAAGATATTGCAATTAAATTAATCACAAAAGGAACATAATTTTTTTGAAAACAACACTAGCAGCTAACAGTGAGCATTTGCTAGTGCCGGGCAGGCCCTGTCCCAGACACGCTACACGTATCAAGTCAGCGAACTGTCATTACAAGAGAATGACTTAAGCAGCGTCATCAGCCACATGGGGAAACTGAGGCAGAGAGAGGCTGCATCTCTTGCCCAGGGTAATGGATGGTCAGGGGCAGCAGAGAGTCAAGCCCAGGATGTCTGGCTCCAGAGCCACCACCTCATCCAGGCTGCAACACGGCAAGAACAGGTGGGTTTTTTCCAAGAAGAATTTTAGAGGCTTCTAGAATTCTTAGAGCTTTTCCAAGAAGGATGACAACGCCCATAACAGAGGACTATGCGAGCTGTCTGCTGGGGCAGCAGGCTAACCAGGACCGGCTTTCTCGCTGTGTCAAATACCCACGGGCACGCTGGTGCTGGTCAAACACAAGGAAACAGAGGAGTGAAGTCCCACCTTCCCGGCGCGGTCTGCAGCGCACGCACCAGGAGGCAGCACCACCGGCAGGGAGTCTCTGTGGCCGCAAGGTCTCTCCCGGATTAAATGGGAGCTGCCGAGGCCGCCGCTCCAGGGATCCTCGCGCGGGGCCCACAGGCCTGAGCATCGTATCTGACCCGACCCACTCTCGGCCGCCAGCTCAGGCTCTCGGGAATGAGTGTGGGCGACGGGGTGGGAGGAACGGCCGACCCCCAGACGGAGCAGCTCCGGGTCCGGGCTGCCCCCACCTCTCCAACAGCCTTCAGCCCTGGGAGGTGAGACTTAGGCCTCCCACAACTTCTCGCTCTGCTTGGGGGAGTCTCAGCAGGATTTATCAACAGGAAGGGTGTCCCAGAGCACCCCAGAAGAAGTCCGTCCCCAAAGGGGTGACCGCTCAGCCTGCCCGCGCCGAAGCACGCGGCTGCTGGCATCTGCAGAGCGCAGGGTTCCTCTGGGAGCCACGTCTCACACTGGCACGCCAGAAGTTCCTCGCCAAGTGCCAGAGCTGGCCCAGAGAACGAAGGCTAGGGAGGCGGGTTTGGGCCCCGGACAGCAACCTGGGAACCACAGACGGGGTGTGTGTGCATGTGAGCATGCATGGACATGTGTGTGTAAGTATGCATGTGCATGAACATGTGTGCGTGCATAAGCGTGAGTGCATGTGTGCAGGTCCGTGCTCCCTAGGTGAGAGGAGAGGGTCAGGGCCCTGGAGACAGGCCGCAGGCTGAGCGAGGTGGAGGGCAGTCAGCACAGTGGCTGTTGGATTAGCTTCCTGCGGCTGCTGCAGCAAACGATCACAAACCTACCGGCTTAAAACCACACACACTCCCCTCACAGGGCTGCAGGTCCCACTGGGCTCAAATCAAAGGCCGGCAGGGCCGGGTTCCTTCTGGAAACTCTAAGGGAGAAGCCGTTCCTGGCTTTTCCCAGCTTCTGGAGGCTGCCTGCACTCCTAGGCACGCGGCCCCGCACTCCATCTGAGGTCAGCAACATCGCATCCCTCTGAGCCTACTCCCCTGTCACATCTCTTCCTCTGGCCACAGCCAGGAAAAGTCCTCTTCTTCTAAGGACCCTTGAGACGAAATTGGGCCACGCAGACACTCCAGGACAACCTCGTATCTCAAGGTCTGTACCTCGAGCCCCTCTGAAAAGGCCCTTTTGTCATGAAAGGTGACATGTTCACAGCTCAGAGGGTTATGGTGTGGACATCACTGGGGACCGTTACTCCGCCGACCACACCAGTGCAGAAGGGTCTCCAGGCCCCAGGGACCAATGCTTGCCCTGAGAGCTGGATGCGGTGACAAACACAGGGACACAGGGACAAGGGTGAGATGTGGCGCTCAGCCCTCGGGGAGGCAGCCAGCTGGTGGGGAGACGGGCAGGTGCCTGAGAACCCAGAGCTCTCGGTGCTCTCTGGGGGCCGGGGTGGGGGGGTGCTTCCCGGAGCAGGAGCGGCTCAGGGCACCAGCCGGGGAAATGGGAAGAAGCTGGGGCCAGGCTCTGCGGTCCGGGCTCGCACCCCGGCTCGGGCAGGGCTGTGACTCTGGGCACGGCTCTTGGCTTTTCTCTGCCCAGCTGCCCACCTGTAACCTGGGAGCATCACAACCCCCTCACACGATGGCCGTGGGGGTTGAAGAAGTGACGTGTGTCAGCACCACGCCCCAGAGCCACCGTGGGTGCATTTCAACAGGTGGAAGGAGGTGAGAAGGGGCAGGAGGAGGAGGTGACAGCAAAGGCCTGCGAGAGTCACTCATGGAGAGTCCAGGGAAGGACAACGGTCCCTTCTGGGGACGCACCTGCCCCCTCAGCCTTCGAGTGCCGCCTCCCTGCGCTCAAACGCTCCTCCCTGGGAAGCCTCCTGTCTTGGGTGCAACCACCCCACTTGAGTATTCTGACCTCCCTCGTGCACACCTGGGCCCCTCTGGACTGAGCCCGTCCCCCCGGCTGGCGCGGGGCCGAAGCCACTGTGCAGTAACCGCGTCCGTGGGGCTCTTCACCGATTCATCCCCCATCATGTGGCACTGTGACAGTTAGTGCCTGATGCATGCGGCCAAAAGGGAGGCAAAGAGCAGATGCCCCTGCGGCCTCGCCACCCCCTGAACTCTCGCTGCCCGACGCTGAGGCAGAATCGTCCCGTGGGAAGGGCCAGCACGTGGGGGAGGCAGACTGAGGACGCCACTTTTCCAGGCTGTAGCTTCGCCTCTTAGGACTTTTATGGGGATGCTGTGTAGTGTCGAGCTGACTCACCAGGCTCGGGGTGTCCACACCCCGCATGTTCCAAAGAAAAGACTGGCCCTTGACAAGCTCCTGGGAATCATCCTCTATGCCCTTGGGATGTCATACCCGACAAGTGTCTCTGTACCTGGTGCCCTGGGTGACACCACAGAATTTATGCCAACAATGTGATTGATGGCGGGGCCGTGGGCCACACTGTTTGACCTTGAGAGAGGCTGGGGACTGAGTAACTGAGGTCAGCCATGTGACTCTCCCAGTCTAAGTGACTGACCCCAAGAAAATCCCTGGACACCAGACTCGGGGGAGCCTCCCTGGTGAGCAAACTCTCTGCTTGTGTCACACATCACTGCTGAGAGAACTGAGCACTGTCTGCATGAATCCTCAGAGAGACAGCTGGAAGCTTGTGCCCACTCCTCCTGAACTCCACCTGTGTACCTGTGACCACTGCTGATTCTGTCTGGATCCTTCCTCTATAAAGACCACAACCGTGAGTATAACAGCTGTTCTGACTCCCGTGAGCCCTTGCAGTGAATCCCTGAACCTGAGGGTGGTCTTGGGGACCCCGACACAGGTGCATAAGGTGGCTGCTCAGGCTGAGGGGGGATTTAAAATACCAGGTGCAAACCTCACCAGTGTCACGAGCCGGCGCTCCTGTTCACGACCACCAGTGGTCGCAGCCACCAACCCGGGCCAGCCTTGTTACCGCCACAGCCCACCGGATGAGCAGGGTACCCCAGACACACAGACGCCCCCGAGACCGGACCTCGCAGTGCCCGGAGGAGGATGGGGCCTCCCACCCCAGCAAGACGCTGGCCGGCGCCGCATACCTGATGAGGGGCTTGAAGAGCGTCCGCAGGACCTTGAGGAAGTTCGTGGGGTGCACGACGTACAGGGCCTTCAGGCTCTTCTTGTACCTGCCGAGGGAAGGCGGGGGGCGCTTTCAGAGCGTGAGACACGGAGACGCGGCCGAGCTCCGAGTCTCAGCACCTCCTGCTTCTCGACAGAGCCAGCTCGAGGACGCTGAGCCAGACACGGACAGGGAAAACCAGGGCCCCTCGGCCACCACCACCGCCAGGCGTGCACACCGCACTTTACAGTTTGCAAGCTTAGAGCCCCTGCTCACGTCAGGGCTGAGAAACACACTGGAGGGCAATTTGGGGACAGCTCTCAAACTAAAACTATGACACAGGACAGGAGACCACGACACTCTCCGAAGGCTCTAGAGACGACGACGGCAGGACCCCAAAGGCAGTCAGGGGGAGGGTGCCCAGGAAACGCAGCCCCTGCCTGTGCTGAGCCTGTGACGCCAACGTCCCTCGGGAACAGTCCATCGTGGGCTCGAAAGGACTCTGAAGAAGGAAAAGTGGAGGAAGCCAGGACACGGACAGGGCGCAAACAGGCTGCGAAGTCAACTGTATGCACATCTCTCAGGAAACAGTCTGGCCCTCGAGCCACTGCCTGTGGTGCTGGTGGAGCTCTGGGCAGGGGAGGGGGCTGGGCCCAGGGAGGGGTCCCAGTCCAGCCATGTCCCAGCTGGCTCTCCAGGCCTGAGTGTCATCATCTGTGAAACACGCCGCCCACCTCGCCCACTTGAGATGCCAGCAGCCTGTGCAAACTGTAAAGTGCTGCGCCCGCAGTGGGAAGGGCACAGCTGGGTGGACATATTTCTTTGTCAACAATTCACTAGACAAGTCAGCCGACCAGGGTACCCGGGCCGAACTGGGCCTGTGCCTGGCTTTGTACAGCCCAAGAGCGGAGACCAGCTTTACAGTTTTAAATGACTGAAAATACAGTAAAAGAGTAACAGTTCACAACAGGGAAATGACATGAAATTCACATTTCCGTGTCCGTAATAAAGTCCTGTGGGGACGCAGCTCCACCCACCCGCTGAGGTGTCGTCTGCGGCTGCGTCCACACCACATGGCGGAGTTGAGAGGTGTGACAGGGACCCGATGGCCAGCAAAGCCGAGACACGTGTCCCCTTGGACCATCCCCTGGGGGAGGTGACCCCACACTGCAGGCCGGCTCACCCCACGACCCCGCCAGGCCCCAGGCATCCCGCCCCCGCCCCCTGCACAGCCGTGACCCCTGTGTCGCCGGAGCCACCCCCACCCACCACCCCTCAGCTCCAGCCCACCGTCCACCCCCGGGGCCTGAGGCACGTACTTCCTGTCGAACTCCTTGTAGGCGCTCTGCAGCCAGCCCAGGGACGGCTTGTTCCGGCTGCTCAGCCCGTAGTGGAAGTAGACGACGGTGTAATCACTCTCCACGTACTGGTCCAGCGTGTACTTGAGATACCTGGGCACAAAGCACAAGACTTGGTTACGAAAGTCTCCTTTCTGTCACCACTGAAACCAAAGACACTCTCCCCAGTGGGAGCCAGCACCAGGCCACACAGACACTCCACCCGCCAGGCGGCCCGGTCCTCATCTGTTAGATGACGACTGAGGCTCAGAGATGTTACTTAACTTACCTAAGGTCACACAGCTAGTGAGTGGATGTGGTAGAACAAAAATAGTCCCCAAAACACACCCTCATCAAATCCTCGGAACCCATGAATGTGGCCTTATTTGGGTAAAGGGTCTTGGCAGGTGTGATTAAGGTAAGGATTATGAGAGGAGGAGTTTATCCTGGATTATGCAGGTGGGCGCTAAATGCAGTCACCTGTATCCTGATAAGATGAGGATGGGAAGGCACAGAGAGGACGGCCATGTGAAGATGGGCAGAGCAGCGTGATGCGGCCACCGCCAGGATGGCAAAGGATCAGAGACAGCCATCAGAGGCCGGAGGAGGCAAGGAAGGTCCTCCCGGAGGGAGCACGGCCCTGCGGACGCTCTGATTTCAGACTTCCGGCCCCAGGACTGCGAGAAGATAAATGTGCGGTTTATGCCACCCAGGGCACCGTAACTTGTTATAACAGCCACAGGAAACTAACACGGAGGATGAGCCGGGAGTCGAACCCAGGACCAACCCAGCCCCCATCTCAGACTCTCTGCTGCTCTGTGCTTTTCTAGAAGCAGTAAGTCCTCCTTCCTGGATGTGCTCCCAACACGTCTTCTGGCTGTAAAGCAGAATCCTGACTCTGCTCTGTCATCTGGCCACACCCACAGCATCGGCTCTCCACGTCCCCAAGGTCCCTGCCAGGGGCTGCCGGGCCCCGACCCTTCCCTGCCACCCCTGGCGGCCCCCTGACAAGCCTGGTTGGCCTCCTGCAGGAGGTGAGCTGCAAAGCGACCACGCCCAGCCTCCAGCCTCACTGTGGCAGGGGCTCCTGACATCCGGCGAGCGGGGCCACATTCTCGCACATCAGGTCGCAGGTCATGACCTACAGGCACGTTTTGTCATCCATCAGCCCGGCTGCTCGGAGGCTGTGCAGCGAGCACACCCGCAGTCATCAGGGGCCGAGGAAACGCAGCCTGTGGGAGCTCTGGGGCCCGCGGGGGTGGGCTGGGTGCTCCCGGGGATGGCGTCCCAGAACCGCTTCAGGGGAAAACGCCAGCAGCCCTGGCCCATCTGCAAGGCTGCAGCCGGCCCCTTGCAGCTGAGACCTGGCCGTGGGATCCGTGCCTTGCACGAAAGGGTGGCAGCCGTTCTCTGCCCATCTGATCCCTCAACAGCAGCAGAGCGCCCTCCACCCAGAGCACTGACACGGGCCTGTAGGCCTGGACGCGTACTTACTGGGTTAATCCTCACAATGACCGACCCTGTGAGCTGTGGCTGTTATACCCATTTTACAGAGAGGTCACCTGAGGCTGGCAGAGGACCAGCAAGGGGCAGAGCCAGGACGGGAACGGGGCCGCCTGGCTCCCAAGTCCTCTCTCACCACGCCGTGCTGCCCCCGGGAGCACATGCGCCCACCGTCAACACTTTGAGGCACAAAACGAGGCGAAGCTGACCTCACGCGCTGCACAGCAGGGCTCAGCGCTGGTGGAGGCAACTTCAAGGCCCAGATGCACATTGTCCCAAACCCCCTTGGGACTGAGCCATGGGGCAGAATTCACCAGGATCTTCCTTCCTGAGTTGCCCGCACCAGCGGGAGGGAGACAGAGCTTCCAGCTTCACACGGAGTCCTGGGGTTGCTGAGAACCTCGTCATTTCCCTGAGACGGTCGCTTTTGCATCTTTCAACTCTTCCAAGAAAGGGGAAATCAGGAACATGTCTCTGCTCGGCTCACTTATCCACGCTGGACACTTCTAATAAGAGCAGGCACCTTTCAGGGCTGGCCTCATGGCCTAGTGGCTAAGTCCAATGCTCTCTGCTTTGGTGGCTGGGTTTGGATCCTGGGCATGGATCTACACCACTTGTCAGTGGCCATGCTGTGGCTGTGACCCACATAGAAAATAGAGGAAGACTGGCACAGATATTATTAGCTCAGGGCCAATTTTCCTCAGGGGAAAAAAAAAAAAAGGAGAGAGATTTAAAAAAAAAAAGAGCAGGCACGACTTTCCCTGGCCCCATGAGCCCCCTGGTTCTCTCCATAAATGAGCCGACCTCCTCCCAGTGCCTGAACACATCTGCCACGTGTGCTTGGCACAGGAAGTCATTAGCTAAATTACTGGCTTAGCTTCAAAGACATGGACTTATTTCTTTACCATTTCAAGAACAGGAGCACACATCTGGCCACTGCACAGCCATCACTTGGATGGGGAGATAAGGAGGATGTACATGGTATCGATTTTTCCCTAAAAGCCATGGAAAAGGCTAAGATTTAGGGCCCATCCCATTGAGGCCAAGAAGCCCACAGAGCGCTTTTGGGTAAATTAGAAAAAGAGGCTCCCTCCTCCAGGCAGATGCCTCCCAGCACTGGGTAAGAAGGGTAGCAGCTGGGTGGTAGCCCCTCATTTGGATGTCCTTGTGTAGTGAACAACCTACACAACTGTTCACAATGGCCACGTTTACCACTCCCATCCGGAAGTGAGGGTTTCCTGGGCGGGTGCATGGAGAGCACAATGTAACAATTGTCAGAGGCATTTTTTTTGGACTGAGATGAAATTCGTAACATAACATTAACCATGTTACAGTGAACAACTGTATGGGCACTAGCCTGTGTGCCCTTTAAACCATGTGTCCTTGAGGCTCCTTGTCTGGGCTGTGTGTCAGCACTCACAATGATAACAGTCCTGGGCTTGGCCAACCCACAAGTAAACGGGTGGGAGAGTTAGCACAAAGGCCCTCCAGCTGTGAGGGGTCACGGAGGCCCTCCAGCTGTGAGGGGTCACGGAGGCCCTCCGGAGGGGAGCCCTGGTCCGTGGAGCGCAGGTCATACAGGGACGGTCCCCCTCGGCAAGCACGCAGCCTTTGTTCCTCTGCCTACTTACCCAGCTTCTCTCTGGGGGCGGGAGCAGGTGCACACTGCTGTCCAGCTGGCGGCCCCTGGACCTTCCCTGTAAGGAACTCCCAGGAAATGCATACGTCTCGTTCACCGTCTCCAGGTCTTTCTTTTGGTCTCTAAGCACCCTGTCCACACTGCTTCTCCAGTGGGACGTGTGGTGGGACAACAGTTCAGTGGCGTTTAGTGCATTCACAGCGTTATACAACTACCACCTGCACCCAGTTCTAGAACGTTCTCATGGCCCCAGAGAAAGCCCGTCCCCATGCAGCCACCATTCCGTTCCCCCACCCCCATCACCCTGCTCTCCATCTGTCGGGGGCACGTCAGGCTTTACAAGACAACAGGCCCTCCCGGCCAGCAGTGGCACCTCGGCGAGAGCTGACCCGCAGGCTGTGGATTACCCGATGCCACAGGAGGAATAATCTGGCAAGGGAGCGTGTTTCCCCTCAGAGGACCCCAGGATGCGAGCCCCCCGGGACCAGGCGCCCCTCTATCCCATGGGCTCTGCAGGCACCGAGAGGGGGCTGCAGGTGGCGCCCGCTCCTCAGGGAGCCCAGCCCCTCACCACTCAGGAGCAGAGCGGGCTGGACTCTGTGGGGCGCCCACTCCTCAGGGCTCTGCCATCCCCACTGTCTCTGCAGCTGCTGCTGGAAGATTCTTTAAGGGACCAGATCGGATGCTCAGGTCAGGCGGATGTTCGTGAAGCAAGCAGCCCAAAGGCTTCCAGGTGCTTCCACGACCCGACCCTGCCTTCGTCCCTCTCCGGGGGGGGCCCCGGGTCACGGCCACCCCGCACTAGCCCTGGGTAGAACGTCGGTCGGAACTGGAATCTGGAAGCAGCGCTGGCCGCCTCCCGCGCTGCAGTGTCCGAGCGTCCCCAGAGCGAGCGAGTCCACTGCGGCCGACCGGCCCTCCTCTCTGTCCCTCACAAGGGCACACAGGCGTCTCCAGGACGCCCAGAGACAGGCTGCAGTGTGGCCGTGGGAGCAAAGCAGAGTCAGAACATCGTCAGGCAACAGATCCGAGGCTCGGAGCGCCCACATGAGCCCACAGGCACAAGAAACGCCCCAAACGGGGTGGTCCATGCAGGTCACGCAGGTCCCTGGCCACAGCAGGCAGCCTGGGACCCGCTGCACAGGAGGCCACTGGGCTGGGACCCGCGGCCACGGCGGGCAGCGGGCAGGAGCTGGCTCGGAATGTGGCTTCCCCTTCTGCAGCCGAGCTTGTCGCCAGACCCCACCGCCCACCCACCCGGAGCGCGATGCCGGGCCGAGATGCTGTGGCCGGCACTTTGCGCGCTCCCTCCAGCTCCAGCGCCCAGGAAGCCCACCAGTCCCGCCAGGAAGGGGGCCCTGGAGCAACGTGGCCAATGCCCAGAGCGAGCGGACGCCGGCAGGAAGGGACAAGATGGAGGAGGGGTGACGGTGGCCAAGGCCACACACAGGGAAGTGGACAGCGCCTCCTTCTGAGCAGGAGGAAAAGCAAGAAACGCAGAGCGTGCCCACCGATGGCTCTGAGAGGGAGGGTGCGAGGCTGGCCTAAAAGTGCCCCGAAGCCCAAGGCCAAAGCTCAAGACTGTGGGACCTGAAGCCACCCTGGCCTGGAGAAGGCGTCAGTCCTGGGGGTGGGTTTGGTGACCCGGCAGGTGATGTGACAACTGCCTGGGGACCCGCAAGTCAACCTATCAATGTTAGCCTCTGACCTCAAGCATCTCTGTGCTGAGAGTGATGGAGAAGGGTACCCATGCAGTTTAGGGGCTGGGAGGGCGGCCACGGAGGGCGTGTGCACACGGAGGGGAGTTGGGGGACACGGGGGACAGCGTGCAAGGAGGAGCACAGGCAGGACAGGACTTACTCCAGCAGGCGCCTGTGGTTGAGCTCGTGCGAGGGGGGCATCCGGCAGCAGCTGAACGTGACGACGCGTCTTCCCAGGCGGTCCTCCCCTGCAGAGCAGACACCGTGGGCGTGAGCCTCGCGCATGCGCGGCCCCAGCCCCCGAGGCCGCCCCGCCAGGATCGCACGTGGGCGTGAGCAGAACCCAGCGGCCTCGCGACCAGCCGGACGGGCTCGGCGGCCGCAGCACCTGCCTCCTGAGCATCCGCCACAGGACGCCCCGCGCACATCACCCACGTGCACCTTCACCACCAGCCCACGTGCTGGGAACAACCCCCCCATTTTAGAAACGGAAATCGGGGGCCCAGCGGGGTTAAGTCCCCAGTGCAAAGCCACACAGCCGGCTGAGGGCGCCAGGACTGAAATGGAGACGCGTCTGGCTTGGAAGCTGGTGTCTGGCCACTCTGCTGCCTCCTCCGCAGAGATTAAGGCATTCCCCTGGAGGCCCCCCAGGACTCTGGGCCTTGGAGAAGGCTCCCTGGCCTGGGGGACAGGACCTCATGGGGTACAGAAGTCCCGATGTCGGGTCCTGGCCCCCGTCACAGCCCAGGGGACCCCATAATTGTCTCAATACAGTGGTGCTCGGCCCACATGGGACGGCCAGAGCGGGTATGAGGGCCAGCCCCTGGTCTAGTCGTCTGCAACCCCAGAACCAGGCCTGCTGCCCATGACTACAGCTCAGATGGTGTCCAAACGATCACTGATTGACAGGAGGACCGATGATGCAAAGACTGTTAGGAAGCTGAAGAAAATAAGGGGACTTTTCTAGAAACGACACATCTTTAAACTCACTTTCATTGTGCAGAAGTATTTCCACCTGTTTTCAGATGTTTCCTTGAAAGGAGAAAGGATGGCAGCAGGGCTTTCTTATCCCCCCCAGCCCTGAGAGGTAATGAACCAAGATTACGCACACGTGAGCACATACTCGCACGCACACGCACACCCCCACGTGCGCTCTGAGGTCCCGGCTGCCCGTCCGGGTCGGCTGTTTGTCATTTAGAACACGTCTGACCCTTCCCAGGAACCCGGAAGCCGCCCCGATGTTCAGAATTCTAGCGCTCTTTCTGTTTTCAAACACAGCAGCCTGATCATTGCACAGGGTCCTTAGGAATCCCGGCCCCGCTTCCCAGTTGTCCAGAAAGCTCCCGTGAAAGGGCTGCACTGGATCCCACGGGTTTATCTGCTTCCCTCGCCAAGCGGGAGCCTCTGGGCACGGCACACTCGCTGGCTCCACCTGGAGGCGCAGTGTTTCCCCACAACGCGTCCATCCTCGTGGAGGCCACCTGAGCCCGTGCTCGCCTGCGCAGCTGAAGCGAAGGGGCCAGCTTTGCTTCTGAAGTTGTGTGTCACAGATGCGGCCACTGAAGGAGCAGCAGTCACAGCCCCCTGGGGCTGAGGGAGAAAGTCAACATCTGTGTCGAAGGGTCAGAAAAATCCAGCAGCGTTATCATCCGCAGTTAGACCAAGCGCAAAGTCCTGGGGATGCGCTACATAATCGGAGAACGGAAGATCAGGTTGGCCAGCCTCACAGAGGGCCCACTGTGCACTCAGCTCTGGAGGGACCACACAGGGCCCCTGCCTGGCCCCACGGCCCAGGGCAGAGGGCAGTGATGGGGGGGCATCTCTGAGAACTGGGGCTCCCGGCAGCCACAGCTACTTCAGCAATGACTTCTACCAGGGGTGGCCACACTTCACAGGTGAAGGGCAGTGGCGCCCACTTCAGACTCCAGCTGCCAGTCAGGGGTCCCCAGGCCACCCCCCTGCTGGCCAGTTGGCTACAGATTCGGAGGTGCCCACTGCCTCCTCACGATCGATAATTCACCAGCTCACAGAACTCGGGAAAGTGCTGTTACCACCATGGTGTTATTATAAAGGATACGGATCGGGACCAGCTGAGAGGGGATGGTGCTGGACACAGGGCCTCCGAGCCCTCTCCCCATGGGGTCGGGAACATCGGCGTGTCATCACCACCCACGGCAGGTCAACAGAGCCTCGGTGTCAGAGTTGTCATTGGGGTTTCGTTACGTAGGCATGACTGATGAATCGTGACTCAATACGCAGCCGTCACTGGGTCGGTCCACAGGTATTGCTGGTTGAACACAGCACGTGCAAAGGCACCGGGGCAGGGATGTGGAGATGGGATTGGCAATTACCTGATCCAGTGTTCAGCCCCGGAGCTCACACAGCCTCAGCCCTCTAACCACACAGCTGGTCTCTGGCACAACAGCCCGTCCTGAGTTGTCCTGTAGCCTCAACTCTCCAGGGGTCCCCCAAGGGTCACCTCTCTGCATAAACTATCAGCAAGCACAGAGCCCCTCCTATCACTCAGGAAAGTCCACGGGTTTGCAGGCCCCTCCCAGGAACCAGGGACAAAGGCCAGACACACTTTACCACAGGGTGTCCTGCAACCCTGCATGCCAGCACGTGGTCGACTGTGCCAGAGGGGTGACCACGGGGTGGTGGAGGGCCTCCCCCACCAGGCCAGAGCACAGAGGCCAAGCTCCAGAAAGAGAAGATGCAGCAGGAACCGGGGCCGCCGACGGGGTGCTGTGGAGGGCAGAGCTGCATCTGCTCAGGGGACCCCCAGTCGGTTGGCCGAGGAGCAGCATGGGCTCTGGGCAAAGCCGTCGTGTGTCTGATGCAGACACACCAGCCCAGGCGGTGGAGACCCAAATGGGAGATGATGGGGGGGGGGGTGTCGAGGACACGATCCAGTGGGGCATTGGGAAGACCCTTCCGGCCTCTGGGTGGAGGACGGCCTGAAGATGTCCCGAGTGGAGACCTCACGGTGGGAGGGAGTGAGGAGTGGGAGGACAGAGGCCTCCAGGACTGGGGAGGGGGCAGGGAGAAGGCCTCCACTGCTGGCTTGGTGGCCAGGCCACTTACTGGGGAGGAGCCAGTCTGGGCGTGGGGTGGCCGGGCCAAGTGGGGAGAGGCACTGGGGGAGCCATGGACAAGGGCTGGGGCTCCCCCGAGGACCAGAGTCCCCAGCATAGAAGTGATAATGGCCTGGGGTGGACGAGGGGCTGGGAGGCCTGTGGGCGTGAGGAGCAGCTGCCCAGGCCGGTGGACCTCAGGAAGCCACGCAGCATCCTGGGGGGCAGGGGGCAGGGCGGCCCCCCACAGGGTGGCAGCATCCACACCCCACAACAGCGAGAGTTCAGGAGCAGAGCCACGTGGTGCCCGAGGGAGGCGGGGAACTCAGGGAGAGGCACAGGGACGGGTGTGGGGGCCGGACGCCTCGCCATGGGGTGAGGGGGTGCAGTGAGGCCACCCCAGGGTCAAGGGAGCAGGAGGAAATTCCCAATGAGAAGCCTGAGGGACTCCCAGGAAGCCCGAGGGACTTGGTGACCAAGAAGGAGCACCCTCTGGGCAGCGCCAGGACAGCAGGTCCTCAGAGAGGGCAGCGCCCTCCTCACACACACACCCCCGTCCCTCGCGACGCTGGCACCCAGGTTTGCCGACGTTGGGTGAGGGGCTCGGGGCCTGGCAGGGCACAGACCTACTGCTGGTGACAGGGCCTCGTGCTGGCCGGCGAGGGGACGCGGCAGGCCTGGAGGGTGGAGCGGGTGTGGAGATAAGGGCAGAAGCGGCAGGGGAGCGTCAGAACAATGAAATCCCCCCTGCAAAGCTGGACTCAGTTCAGCCAGCAATAGGGTACGAGGATGCTGCCCAAGCCGTGAGCCCCTCCCACTGTGCCACCTGCACGTGAGGGCACAGCACGTGCAAAGGCACCGGGGCAGGGATGTGGAGACGGGATGGGAGCCCCGTGCCCACATCGGGCCCAGTTCCTTTTCCCCCCAAGCCTCCCGCCTCTATTAAGCGCTGAATGATTTCACTCGTTTGCTCGATAAACGCTTATGGAGCACCCACTGTTTGCAGGGCCCATCGACTTGCGTAATGCTGCGCTGTGAAGTGAGCTGTTGAAGGCTTTGTCTCCCCCCAAAACCAAAAAATGGGGCACCTAACTGGGCGTTTTCTTTTCACATCGACAGGTTTTTAAATGTCCTGCTAAACCGATATCATGGCATTACTCAGATTCGACAAACTTTCACGAAGCTCAGAGCGAGTGTGGCGGTGGGTTAACTGGGGTCCTTAACCTATTCCCTCTACCTCTGATGCTTTTGACAATTTTCAAAATAAGAAGTGACACAGGAGGAGGGAGAGAGAAAGGAACGGCTCGGCACTCAGCCCACGGGGACAGCGCCCCTGCCCCACGCACCAGCCCGGGCGGCCTCTGCGCGCCTGAAGATGGAGAGAATAAGAAAGCCGGCTGGACAGCCCGGGAAGAATGACACCAACAACTTGAATAAAGTCTTGCCGTAGCTCAGGCACATAGTAGGTGTTCAATTAGTGTGACCTGTTACCACGTGCCAGGCAGGATGTTGGTGCTTCCAGGTGTGTCGTTTCATTGACAGTTGAGGAAACTGAGGCCCAGGGAGGCCAAGTGAGTGTACAGCTGGGTTCATGACTACAAGGCGGTACCCCAGCCTCCTCTGTCCCGGGACACCCACGCCCCCAGTGAGGAGACCTGTCCTGCTCCCACAGCTGCCTGGGTACCGGCCTCCTCGGCAGCCGTGCAGAGTCCCTGGACATCCAGCCTCCCGCTTATCAAGCAGCCACCGCGCATCTGCACGGAGGCTTCCGTCCGTGTGAGTAGTAAACACCCCTTCTCCGTTCTCCGGTTACACAGGCCGGCATGTGGGAAGCCGGCTTCAACGTGACATAATATGGAAGGAAGTGAAAACTATCAATAAAATGCAAATTCTGCACGGCACCAGCTTAATCCCTGACCCCACATCCTCCCCTCGCTGCTTATGGCACAACCTCGTTCTCTGTCTCGGTGGCAGGAGACGCCTCGTGTATGCATGAAGAAGTGACTTCCTGAGCCGCAGGGGAACTCGCTCCAGACGGGCCGTCACCCGCTCCGAGAGAAGGAGGACGAGACACACGGTCCGGGTGGCCGCTCCTCGTGGGGAGGGAGCGCCGTGGGCGCTGGCTGTGGGGTCTGTCTGAAGGCTGCTACCCTCATTTGCAAAAGGGAAAGGAGGTCTGAAGACTCGTTTTGTCTGCGTCCTGCAGCAAAGCGCAGCTGGGGCCTGGCCGGGTGGTGAGAGATGGGGGCGTGGGGCAGTGACTTGTCATCCAGCAGGGCCAGACGCAGCGCGTCCCGCTGTTTCTCTTCTCCCTTCTCTGCCGCTCAGCCCCTCGGAGGCTCTCTGGATCGTGGGGGCCGGAACCTTCCCTCTGCCCGCCCTGCCTCCCGCCACCGAATCTGCCCTCTGAGCTCGCAGCCCCAGCCCCAGGCCGGAGCTGCAGACGATGACCACTTCTTAAAAGAGGGACATCAGTTTTATGTACAAAACACGACTTAGGAGTTAACATTCTACAAAGCTTCCGTTTGGCCAAATATACGAGCCCTGGAGTAACGACAGATCGTTCGCTCTTACTTTTGCTAAGAGTCTTTGATCCTGGCTGTGGGTCTAGCTGTCCCGCATGAGAAGTTAGGGGAGCCCCTTGGTGGGGAGTGACGTCTGCTCACCCCTGAAGCAGACCCCTCCGCAGGAGCCCTGGATGGCGCGTGCCGGGAGGGAGGGGAAAGGGAACAAAGCTGGACGCCAAGGTGAGGCCCGACCCTCAGTGAGGGAACCGGGGGCCTGCTCCCGCATGGAGCCCCACCTGGAAAAGCCACTGGCGACGTCAGGGACGGCGATCTTTGCTCTAATAATCTCCTCTGTCCTTAGCCACTGAGTCATCCAGGTCGGAATGTGTAGATTGCCCCTGCTTCAGCTCTTCACTACAAACTATCACACCCAAGTGTGCAGCTGGCTCCATTCAGCTTTTCTCCAGTTGTCTCCACCTTATTCTGATGACTTCTGGTGAAGGCTGGCATCTTTGAAGGATGACCTGAGACCATCAGATGTTCTTTTTCTTTTTTTGCGCTGAGGAAGATTGGCCCTGAGCTAACATCTGTGCCAATCTTCCTCTATTTTATGTGGGATGCCACCACAGCGAGGCTTAATGAGTAGTGTGTAGGTCCATGCCTAGATCTGAACCTGCAAACCCTGGGCCACTGAAGTGGAGCACACAAACTCAACCACTACGCCACCGCACTGGCCCCTGGATGTTCTTTTTAAGACAGTTAAACTTCTCAAAAAGCTGGTGTTAAAAACAGGGAGAACTCCGCTCCAAAAGAAGAGAACTATCTGGAACCTGAGAATTGCAGCCTGAGCCATCCTCCTCCAAAGGCATCTGTGAGGACACAACTCAACCGTTCCACTGTGATGGTTTCATACAATGTCTCCAGGAAGAGCCTGAGCACAACCCCGCGGCAGCCCGCCATCCCTTATCAGCGCTGAAGGACCCACCACAAACCGCGGGGACACCCACAGCCTCCCACCAGGAAGGAACCCCGTCCCGGCCCTGGGGTCCCCTGAGCACAGCAGGTGGAGACAAGGCCCAGAAAAGAACCAGCCCAGGTTACTTCCCAGGGCCCCCGGCTCTTAATTCAACCTTTCCGTCTGCGCCCCTGGAAACCTCGTCCCATGCCGCCAGGGCTCCTGCCCAGGTCGGTTTCCACTGGCCCTCCAGTGCAACAGTTTAAAATCCCTCAGATTCATCCCCACCTCTCCATGCCGCTGCCACGTCACTCAGACCCCGTTCTCTCTCCTCCCAGTCGCCCCGCCCCCCGCGGCCGCCATCAGCATCCTCCACGCCAGGGCAAGAAGGATCCTTCTAAATTGCAAACCCGATCACGTCGGTCCTCTGCTCAGGGTTCCCCGGAGCCTCCGTGACCAAGTGCCAACCCCTCAGCATGCCCTTCGAGGCCTGGAGCATGCGGTTCCCGCCATGAGCTGCCTCTCAACAAAAGTCGAGGACAATCCAGTGACAAGCTGTCTCTAAGAGCTGCATTTCACACGCAAAGAGTAAGCTGGTTAAAGGAAAGGATGGAGACAGTGTGTCCTCCCAACACCACCGAGAAAGCTGGGGCGGCTGTCGTACCGCACTCCATCAGAGAAATCAGGCAAGGAGCGCCACCAGACAGAAAGAAGGCCGCTTTAATAACGATGAAAGGTCAACACACCAAGGAGACATAACAATCCTAAGTGTGTATACCGCAAGAAACAAGCATCGAAACACACAAACAAGGGCCGGCTTCGGGGTGCAGCAGTTAAGTTCACACCTTCTGCTTTGGCAGCCCGGGATTTGCTGGTTCAGATCCCAGGTGCAGACCTACACACTGCTTGTCAAACCATGCTGTGGTAGGCATCCCACATACAAAGTAGAGGAAGATTGGCACAGATGTTAGCTCAGGGCCAATCTTCCTCACCAAAAAAAAAAAAAAACACAGAAGGACAGAACCAAGGGAAGAAATGTACAAATTCAATTGTGGAGCTTGGAACAGCCCTCTGTCAGTAGAAGACACGAAATTACGAAGGATGTAGATTGGGACCACGCTATCAAGCAACTTAACCTCAGTGAAACGCACAGAACACTCCAGCCAACCAGGCAGAATATACATTGTTTTCCAGGGCACGTGGGCCATTCACCAGCTCAGATCATACACAAGGACACTGCTTCTCAAACTTCTAGGTCTCAGAAACTGTGAATATATTTAAAAATTACTGAAGACCTCAAAGAGCTTTTACAACAAAAATGTAAGTTATTTCTATAGAAATTTACCTGTATCAGAAACCTAAAACAGAAAATTTTTAAGTATTCAGTTATTCATTCATTTTAAAAGAATAATAAACCCATTGCCTGTTAACATAATGTATTTTTTATGTCTTATGAAAAATAACTATATTTTCTTTTCATGGGCACCTGATCTGTGGGTCCCTGTCCCCCACATCCGGTCCAGCATCCGTGCCCTCTACCTAAACCAAAAGGTTTTCTAAAAAGGCCATCTGGAGCTGAAAATGGCTGGGCGCCCGGCGCAGCCCCCTCCTCTCCTCACTCCTCCACGCTCGGCTGCACCAAAATGGTTACCGTTCGTGTCTCTGGGGCTCCCAGCTATTGAGGGCTGTTCCTCCTTTTGCTCATCACTTGGACAAGATTCTGGCTCCTTGGGGACAGGAGCTAATGGTCACAGAGCTTGGTGCGGGGGACAGAGAAGTCAGTGTGTTAGGGTCACTGCCTGTGACGGCTGATTCCACGTGTCAGCTTGCCTGGGCTGGGGGACACCCGGACGGCTGGTGAAACCCGACTTCTGGGTGCCTGTGGGGTGCGTCCCGAGGGGACTAGCCTTTGAATGCGTCCACCCTGTTGAGGCCTCAGTAGAACGAAAGGGCGGAGGAAGGGCGACTGCTCCCTCTGCCTGAGCCGGGATGTCCTCCTCCTGCCCATGGGCCTCAGTGCTCCTGTTCTCCAGGACTCGGACTGGAACCTCCACCCTCGGCTCTCCCGGGCCTCTGGCTTGCAGGGGGCAGATGACGGGACTTTTCAGCCTCCATAACCAGGTAGGAGCGGATTCCTCCAGTTAACCTCCTCTGATCTGTCTGTCTCCACCTCCTGTGGGTTCCGTTTCTCTGGAGAACCCCAATGAATACACCGCTTACAGGAGAAAGCACAGCGGGGCCCCAATCCCTCGGGCCTAACTAAAGAGAGGCCATCAACCCCCCCCAGAGCACCTGCTGGGCGGGGGCTGCCTGTCTTCCAAGTGTTGGCAGATGTTTGTCGCTTTTGAGGAGATGCAGCCTAACAGTATGCTGGGCTAATAAAGCAACCAGTTTCATTTCAGCCTCTGCTCTCTGACAAGCGGGAGGTCACTGCCTAGTGGCTTCTCGGAGCACCTGGGCAATGCTGTGACAGGCGTGTCACTCGTTTTTTCAAAACACTGGCAGGTACTTTTGTTTCTATCGTGGTTTTCATTCTGTGGGCACACCCCAGCTGGAGGGAGGCAGCACGAGCCAGACCACCCCATGCCACAGGGCCCCCAGGAAGGAGGGCACTGTCAACGGTCCTGGGGACCATCCAGCTAGGACCCACCTGCCACCTGCAGGATGCCGTGTCGGGCCACATCGTAGAATGGGTGATTCGTGCTCAGCGTGGGGTCCTGGCCAGCCGCGGGCGCCTCCGAAGGCCGTCTCGCTGTGCCTAGTGCAGCCGCCGCCTCCTCATCTCTCTGCAGCTCTACGGCAGACAATGAGGATTGGAGACAGTCAGCTGTGTTCTCAAGGCAAGGGAGGAATGAGGAAGCCTCCTGAGCTCTTGTTATAGGATGGTCACCATGCCTCAGCTGTGTACCCACTGTGCGCCTGCCTCTGCTGTGCACCCACTATGTGCCCAACTCTGCTGTGTACCCACCATGTGCCTGCCTCAGCTATGCATCCAACTATGCACTTGCCTCAGCTGTGCACCCACTATGTGCCTGACTCTGCTGCATACCCACTATGCACCTGCTCAGTGTGCTACACCATGAAGGGATAAAAACAAGACCTGAGGGAGGGATACTGTCCTCCACATTGACAGGAGTGAAAACTGAGGTTCAGAGATGGGCAACGACTTGCCCAAGGTCCCACTGCTAACTGGCAGCAGCGTGTGGACTTGAACTCCATTCCCAGCTCCAAATTCCAACTGGACCTTCCTGAACGATGCCGACACTGGCAGCCGGCAGGAAGCCGGGGCGGGGCCAAGGGCAGAAACTGGGGTCACTGTGTATGAGGGAGGAGGAGAGCGCTGTCTTCAAAGTTGAATTTCAGTAGGGGAGGCTCCTTCACAGGAAGCAAATCACGGCTCTTCAGAAAGGCGTTTAGCTGGAGAACGAGTGGAAACTTGAACGTCAAGGTCAGGGGAGCCTTCGTCCCCAGGGGTATCGGGTTAAATAGTGTCCCTCCAAAATTCTGTCTCCCCAGAACCTCACAATGTGACTTTATTTAGAAATGATGTCTTTAGAGATGCAATTAGTTAAGATGAGGTCATACTGGAGTTGGGTGGGCCCTAAATGCAATGACTGGTGTCCTTATAAGAGGAGGGGACACTCAGGGAGAAGCCATGTGAAGACAGAGGTGGACTGGAGGGGCGCAGCCGAGAGCCCAGGAGCCACCAGGAGCCGGAAGAGGCAGAAGGGCCCTCCCCTGGGGGGAGCGCAGCCCCGTGACACCTTGACTTCAGCCTTCTGGCCTCCAGAGCTGGGAGAGAAGAAGCTGCATCGTTTTAAGCCTCGAAGTTAGTGGTCCTGCATTAGGGCAGTGCCCGGAGGCGCAGGCAGCAGACTCGTCCACCCAGAACGAGGGCCCGCTGCGTCGGCATTACCGGGGGCAGGATGGGCTGGGGTGGGGTCCAGAGAGGAAGCACGGACTTCTCCTAAGGAATTCTGGGGAGATGCTGATGCAAAGCCAGGTGGGAGACCCACTGACCCATGACAACGCCCCATCCCAAAGGGCGGCCACCCGTGACCGTGGGGGGCCCGTCTGTCCCTGGGGAGACAAGGTCTGGAGTGAGACCTCCTGCCCACCTGGTCCCAGTTCCACCCCCTTGCCGTGCAGCCTCCGGTTCACAGAGCCTCCGGGAAGCTGGGGGTGGGAGTGGCAAGCCCCTCGTTTATCACAGGGACAGGTCCCAGAGTGGAGCTAGCATGTGACACTGCAGGGCACCCCTCACGTACCCTGTCCTTCAGCAAATATGTGTCGAGTACCTGCTATGTCCTGGAGACAGTTTTACACAGTGGGGACACAGCACAAACACAGGCAGAGTCCCTGTGGTGGGCAGAATAAAGGCCGCCCAGTGACATCCACGTCCTGACCCCCAGAATCTGTGACTATGACCTCATGCAGCAAAGGAGACTCTGTGGATGTGAGTAAGTCAAGGACCCTGGGATGGGAGATGATCCTGGATTATCCGGGAGGGCCCTGGTGTCAGCACAAGGGTCCTTATGAATCGGAGGCAGGAGCGCCAGAGTCGGAGGAGGAGATGCGAGGACGGAAGCAGGAAGAAAGATGAAGGATGCTGGATGCTGGAAGATGGGCCACAAGCCAAGGAGGAGGCAACGAACCAGAATCTCTCCAGACCCCCTAGAGGGAGAACAGACCCGCCCTGATCTGACTTCAGCCCAGTGGGACGCATTTCGAACAGAACAGGTAAAAAAGGCGTGCTGTTTGGGGGCCAGCCCAGCGGTGTAGTGGTTAGATTGGCATGCTCTCCTTTGGCGGCCTGGGGTTCACAGGTTCGGATCTCGGGTGTGGACCTACACACAGCTCATCAAGCCATGCTGCGGCGGTGTCCCACATGCAAAATAGAGGAAGAAGGGCACAGGTGTTAGTTCAGGGCCAATATTCCTCACCAAAAAATAAAAATAAAAAAATAATGCATGTTGTTTTAAGCCACTAACTTTGTGGGACTCTGTGACAGCAGCCACAGGGAACTCATGTCGTCCCCGTCCTCAAGGACGGACATCTGGCAGGGTGAGGGTGAGCAGGGTCAGGAACAGACCAGGCAGAAAAGAGCCACATACCAGGCACGAGTGCTAAAGAAAAGTCAGGCAGGATAAGGGGCCCCGGGTGGGCGTGAGGCCTGGGCAGGAGGCCAAGGGGAGTGGAGCTGTGAAGCAGGGTAGCCCTGCTGGGACCTGCTGGGAGGGAATTCCAGGTGGAGGCCGAGGGGTGGCAGCAGCTGAGTCCTGGAGGAGAAGCGGCAGGAGCTGAGGGCAGGGAGGCCACAGGGACCTCGTGTCCTGCCGTGCCGCAGCCGCTGGGGGCCGAGGCAGTGAGGACATGCTCCACCCACTTGGGTCTTACTAGGATCCTCCGGCGGCTGAGTGGAGGGCAAGCTGGGGGCCCCAGGGAGGCAGAGTTCTTCAGTCAGAAGCCCCTGAGAGGGGGCCACGGGGCTGGCCCGCCCGTGCTGGGCAGCAGCAGAGACAAACAGCCCCAGGTGCCGACTGAGATAAGGGCTCTGAGCCCAGAACAGACCCCGGGCCCCTGGCGGCTGCAGCAGGCTTCCTGGAGTGGGCGCCGAGCGTCTGTGCCAGAGCCTGGCGATGGGCGGTGTAAAATGACGAGGAGGGGAGGGAGGGAGTGTTTCAGAGAGAGGAAAGGCCCCCCCGGGAGGGAGAAGGGAACAGGCTAGCGGGGCTGGAGGGAGAGCGAGGGCCAGGCGGCCCGCAAGGCCAGACCCTGGGGGCTGGAAGCCGTGCTGTGGGTCAGGGTTAGTCAGAGCCCAGGAGGCCACCGGAGGGTTGGCAGAGGAGGCTATAAGCAAAGGGCGGGGACAGCCTGACAGAGAGATGGGGGAGAGAATGCGGGTCAGGCCGGAGCTGGGCCGGCCCACGTCCACCGAGGGTAACCCACGTGGTCCTACAGGTACAGCCACGTGGACCCCCCAGGAACACTCCACTTCTGGAGGCATCCCGACGAGGAAGATGTGCACAGCGCTCACGCTCACGGGGCAAGACGCTGGGCTATTCCTCAGAGTTGAACACAGCATCACCGCGACCCGGCAACTCCGCCCCTACTGCAAACCCAAGAGAACTGAACAGACAGTCCGACAGACACAGGCTCGCGGCAGCACCGCTCACAACCGCCAAAAAGCGGACGTGGCCCAGATCTCCATCAATGCATGAACAGAAACACAAAACGTGGTCCATCCACCAACAGGAATGCCGCTCAGCACGGAAGGGGTGAGGTATGGACGTATGGGCGCCAGGAACGAGACCTGAAACATCACTCTAAGCGAAAGAGGCCAGACACAGAAGGCCGTATCACATATGACTCCGTTTATAAGAAATGCCCAAACAGGTAAGTCCACAGTGACGGAAAGCCGACGGATGGTTGCCAGGGGCTGGGGGAGGGAGGCGGGGGAGTGACAGCTTAACAGGCTGGGGTTTCCTTTTGGGGGCAATGACAATGTTCTGGAACTAGACAGAGGTGATGGCTGCACAGCACTGTGAAAGGACTGAATGCCAGTGAACCATTCACTTTACGGTGGCTAATTTTGTTGTGTGAATTTTGCCTCCATAAAAAGAAGAAAAGAAAGCACCGCTCCAGCAGGAAGGGCGCACAAGTGGGAAGAGACAGGAGGAGCCAGAACACTGGCCATCTTGAGGGACACAGAGAAGGAAGGGACCACAATGTTCCCGGGGACGGGGTGGCACCTCACAGCCCCCCAGCATCGGGAATGCTGTCACACTGCCACATCGACCCGAGCGAGAAACGGTTTCCTGCAGCCACATGCCGTGAGCCATAAGGAGAGGAAACTGGAGGCAAAATCAGGGGTTCTCGGAGCAAATCAGGCAGCTCGTGTAAAACCCAGCCAAGGCATCCCAGGTCGAGGTGTGAGACGCTGCTGCTAGAGGTAGAAGGGAAAACCGTTTGTTTCAGGGCTGCAGGCCCCCGGTGCGTTCTCCAGAGCTGCTCTGGTTACTGCAGACCTGGGCGAGGAAGCTGCCCCCGAGGGCAGAGAATCAAGAGTGGGGCCCCAGTGCACGTAGTGACGCACATGCATGGTCTCAACCAAATGCCAGGAGAAGACTCCACGGGAAGGGGCTCCCTGGGAACCTGGAAGCGAGGCCCTCCTCCCAGCTGGGCCCATCGCCAGGCCTCGGGCATGCTGTCCAGTCCCTCGGAGCCTTGCTTTGCTCGTCTGTAACATGGGGACGTGGAGCCTGCCCCCTGAAGGGCAGCTGTAAGCAGTGAATGAAGCTCACAACCACGCGGAGGGCGGCTCCTCCTCCACAGGGCTTGTGTGACTGCATAAAAGAACTCTGGAGGGGCCGGCCCGGTGGTGCAGTGATTAAGTTTGCACGTTCCGCTTCTCCGCAGCCCGGGGTTCGCTGGTTCGGATCCCTGGTGCGGACATGGCACCGCCTGGCAAGCCATGCTATGGTAGGCGTCCCACATATAAAGTAGAGGAAGATGGGCACGGATGTGAGCTCAGGGCCAGTCTTCCTCAGCAAAAAGAGGAGGATTGGCAGCAGTTAGCTCAGGGCTAATCTGCCTCAAAAAAAAAAAAGAACTCTGGAAAGAAAACGGCACTATTGATGGTTACCTGGGGTGTGGGTGGGGGTGGGACCCAGGGATGGAGTGGAAGGGCGACTTCACTGGCACTTCTCTATAGGGTTAGACTTTAAGCCATATGAACAGAACAGCTATTAAGAATGGGCACCAATGATCCCCTTCTCCCGGCTGAGGCTGGACGACAGCACACTCCTACCTATGTCGGCCAGCTCCTCCAGGGCCAGCCGGGACATGCTCTGCCGGTGGCCAGGGTGGTCCAGGCACGCTGCCCCGATGCCGCCTTTCCGGGGTCCAGGCGTGGGGTGCTCCCGACGTCCTGAGGGAGAAGCACATAGAACAGGTAGGATTTAAGGCCAGGGCCTCCGGAATAAAGGAAGGCCCTAAGGGGCCACCTGCTGCTCCAACTTCTCTCCTTAATGTGAAAAAGAACACCCGCTTCAATCCACAGAGACCTCGAACCACTTCGTGTTCCCGCCTCTGATGCCCAGCTCCCCACAACCACACGCGGGAGAACTCTCCCTCCCCGAACTCGAGGTCCAGAGAGCTGGGGCCCCAGAAAGGTGGCATCCACCCCACTCTGACTTCCCCCTCCTCCTCTGGGGCCCCAGACGGGGCTCTCGCCAACCATCCTCACGGCCCAGAAGAACAGGGCCGGGGTGGGGACACGTGGGCGGCAACAGCACTTCCAGGTCAGCACCCTTCGAGGACGCCACCGCTCCTGCGTCACCACCCCCTCAGAAACAGGCGTTCGCACTCCTGTACCCATTTTACAGACGGGGTCACTGAGGCCGGCAAAGGTCAAGCAGAACGGCTCATGGCTGCCGAGCTGGTGATCACAACCCCAGCTAAGAGTTACTGGACGACTGTTCCGTGTCTGGACCCGCTTCGATGCCTACGTAAAAACACCTCCGTTAAAATAAATAAATAACTAAAAACAGACAAAAAACGGGGCTGGCCCAGTGGCGCAGCAGGTAAGTTTGCACGTTCCACTTCGGTGGCCCGGGGTTTGTCGGTTCAGATCCCAGGTGCAGACATGGCACCGATTGACAAGCCATACCGTGGCAGGCGTCCCACATATAAAGTAGAGGAAGATGGGCACAGATGTTAGCTCAGGGCCAGTCTTCCTCAGCAAAAAGAGGAGGATTGGCAGCAGATGTTAGCTCAGGTCTAATCTTCCTCAAAAAAAAAAAAAACCTCCATTAGTAACCAACAACGGAATATTATTCGTCCAAGAAAAGGAATGAAATACCCACACTAGTCCGACCCGGACGAACCTTGAAAACACCACGCTCAGTGAAAGGAACCAGCAACCAAAGCTTCCACGGTTCCATTTATACAAAATGTCCAGAACGGGCAGGCAGATCCGCAGACACAGAAAGCAGACTCCTGGCTGCCAGGGGCTGGGGGGAACGGGGACCTAGGGAGGTGGCAGCCAAACGGCACGAGTCCTTTTTGAGGAGATGAAAATGCCCTAAAATTGACCGGGGTGAAGGTCGCACAACCCTGTGAACGCACTGGGACCCAGTCACCCGTGTGCTTCAAACGGCAGACCTGGGTGCTGCGTGAATTCTCTCTCGATCGAGGTGTTTTAAAAAGTCAACGAAGCAGAGTGAAGACAGCACATGCAGCCGGGTCCAGTTCTTAACAGAAAAGACACGCACAACATTGTTTCAAAAATGCTGTTTCCTGTGAGTTCTAGGATTAGGGTTTATAAATCCATTTATTTGGGCTTTTTCTCATTTTTTGCAAAAGCCTGTATTGCTCGTAATATAAAGTTATTTGAACCAAAAAAAATACGCGACTGACACATAATTTTAAAATGCTTGCCTTCTTCTTCCCCTAAAAACCTGTTAGCTTGGTGCTGCTTTCTATCTCCAGTTTACAGACGAGGAAACTGAGGCAGAGACCGAGGGTCACTTGCCCATCAAGAGGCAGCGCTGTGGGACGTCCTCACCCACGACACTGGACGGAGGTATGAAAGGGAAGAGAGTCGGGGAGGGCCCGGGGGATGGACTCTAACTGAACATGAAAACACGTGTGTGCCCGAGACTCCGCAGGCCCCGTCGGACTCACACCAGCAGAGTGTGCGCGTCGGTGCAGAGAATGACACGGCCCCCGAAATGGCCCCAAACTGGGAACAACCTAAGCACCCACAAGCCGTGGGGGAGAGCGAGGCCGGGCAGGGCGCTCTGCGGCTGTGCAGGGGCGTCCATGGCCACGCGTCCCCCACGGGGTCTCACCATCAGGGTGGGCAGAATCGCAGGCGCAGAGGATGATACACAGCAGGATCCCGAGTGTCCAAAGTTCAAAGCCAGGCAAAGTGAACCCGCCAGGGAAGAGTCAGCAAGGCAGTCGCCTCGACACGGAGGGACACGGGGCGGGCGCCCTCTGCTCCTTGGTCTGGGTGCCGGTCCCGGCGTGTGTTCACGTGTGAAAATTCAGTGAACCTGCACGGGTTCTGATGGTGTCAGGGAGTCATCAGGGCGCCCAGGAAATGACGGCGGTGGGCCTGGAAAGGCCACGTGGAGTCTCCCGCAGGAAGCGGGGGCGAGAGTGGACGGGGGTGAGCGTGGCTGAAGCCAACCGCAGCGGAGGGCGGGGGAGAGGAGGCTGGCAGTGTAGACAGGGAAGGGGGAGAGGAGGCCGGCTGTGTGGACAGGGAGGGGTGCATGCAGGCCTCACCCAGTCATTTGACAGCCATGTCTTAGGTGGAGCACCGGGGCCCTGGACACAGAGGGGAACCGATTTGTGCCCTCACCAGTGCTCAGGCTGAGAGAGGGGCCCAGACACGAAAGGATCAGCATGAGGAAGGGAGTTAACCTCTACTAGAAATGGGTAGAAACTGACAGAGGGCCCGGAGCTTGCTGAGGCCGCACACGGGCAGGGGAGGCCAGCTCCTGACACCAATGGGCGCCAGGGGCACAGCTTCCCCTGCCGGCGAGGCCCTCCCTGTGCCCACAGGATGATGCCATGTAGACACAGGCTGTGGCCAGAGTCCAGGCCTGCAGTCCCCAGGAAGGGGGCTCTTGGCTGGACAGAGTGGACAGCGGTCCTCTTGACCACCAGCATCCCCTCCCCACCCGCCAGTAACTCACGCACTGTCTCTCTCACACACACACATGCACACACAGCCCGTGCAATGTTGAGTGAAGCTCCACTCCAGGCACCAAGGATGGACCACAGGGCCTTTGCTTGGTCAATCGCAGCACCAAATTCCCTGAACCGCAGAGATCAGTTCAGAGTGATCACATGACTCCAGCTGGTCCGATCAGAGTGAATTTCTAAGATTTCTGTAAAAGCTACTGAGAAGACAAACGTTTTAAATTTCTTCTGCAGGACCTGAACCTGAGAGGACATGGGCCTGGAGCTACCAAAGGTCATCATACGAAACTGAGAAAAATGAAGCCAATGGCAGAAGACAGAGAGATGGAGAAAAAAATCCCTAAAACACTGTGTGCCTGCAGCCAGCTGTACCTGAAAGCAAAGATCCAATAAATTCTCTTTTCCACTTAAGCCAGTTTGGGTTACAGATGACCTGTCACTTCTAACAAAATGAGTGCTAATATTTTCTCTTCGAAAAATCTGTGCATATTGAAACACTTGATAAAATCTGCCTCAATATTCTTTACTTTAAAAGAATAAAACGATCAACGCCCACACTGTTTTTCTTTTTATTGTGGTACGAGCAAATGAATTTCATTTCCGAAAACTCTGAGGGGGAAATCCAGCTTAACCACAGAGAGATGACACGCCCCAGACGGCCTCACCCTGCCCCCGCCGCGGGTCCGGGGTCTCATCCTCAGGGCCCGAGGACGCTGCTTGCCTGGATCCAAGCTCCTCTGTGCCGGGCAGAGAACACAGTCTTTCCACCAACCTGGTCGGCTCCGTGTTGCCGAGATTGACCCCCAGACCTCTCTCTACCCCACGGCTCCTTTCTAAGTGGCAAAACGGCCTCACAGCATCAAGGAAGCTCGTTGAAGGGGGAGCCTCCCAGAACCCGGGCGCGAGTGCGATTTCTGCAGAGTCCCCTCCAGTCTTCCTCAGCTGCACGCACATTTTGTAATCGACTCTGTCTGCTCACACACACCCCATCAGCCCAGAGGACCCCAGACCCCAGAATACTCAGCCCACCGCCCTGGCCCCCAGGAGCATGGCCCAGCACCGGGGGGGGGGGGGGGGGGGACGATCGGGGGAGCAGGAGAGGACGGGGGAGAACACAACTGTGTCCAGACAACACGTATGTGCTCCGGACAGAGACTCTGGCGGCCACCACCACAGGCACGCAACGTGGCCTAGCACCATGGCAGCGGGACCCCCGACCCAGTGCCCCCAGTGCGCTGCGGCAGGAAGGACATGCCTGTGAAGAACTCGCGCCCCCAGGGTGTAGCCTGAAACCGGTGAAGCTTCTGGCATTGCTGCTCCCAAGGAAACACCCCCAGGGATCAAAGGACAGAAAAATGACAGCACGACGGGGACGGAAATCAGACCGAACCGGAGAGAGACATCCCCCCAGACATTGTCATAAAAAGAGAGAGAGCGGGGGAGGGTGGGGCACCATTCCAGACTGAAAGACGCCCAAACACCTCACAACCTCACAAGCCAGAGCCGCAGGCGAACCCAGACGGGACTCCAGTCCACAAAAGGCAGTGACAACATTCCCGGGATAACCAGGCCAATGGACAGTGGACGAGGTTAAAGGAGTTCCTGTGGATTCTCAGGGGTGAGGATGGTGTCGGGTCACACGGCAGAAGGTGTCCTGTGCTGGGGGACGCCGGCTAATGTGGTAGGAGGGCTGGCAGGGGGCTGCCCCTTACTCTCCAACAGTTCAGCCAAGAGAGCCAGAGACACAGAGACACAGAGAGACAGAGACACAGAGAGACACACAGAGACAGAGAGAGACATACAGAGACAGAGAGAGACAGAGACACAGAGAGATACACAGAGACAGAGAGAGACAGAGACACAAAGCGACACAGAGAGAGACAGAGACACAGAGAGGCAGAGACACAGAGAGAGACAGAGACACAGAGAGACAGAGAGGGAAAATCCAGAAGGAACGGTACCAACTTCTGGCTCAAGGTCGGCGTGTGCTCCGTGCGTTTTTCTGTAGTTGAACAATTTCTGTGAACAGCCGCAGAGGGAAGGGGGTGGGGAGGGAGAAAGGCCACCCTCGTGTGGCCCCGTGACCCTCATAAACTCTTAACCCGTCTATCAGGGAACAAAACTGAGTCATGAGGTGTGGACACCGGCTCAAGGTCGCACGGTGACTCCGCCCCAGGCCGCCCTTGCTCCCATCTCTGTGGCTTCTCTCCTGGG